CATTTAAAAATATCTTTATAATTTCAAAATAAGATTTGATTCAAATATAATATACTTGTTTATTGATTATTAATGTTTTTCCTATCCCACTACCCATCTATATATAATGTCTTTATAACCTCCACTAGGTAGAGTTAAGCCTTACAAGTTTACCTAAAAGCAAAAGTAACTTTAACTAAGTAAAGCTAAGTGTAGTACTTGGTTAACGCTAAAGTTGATGTTACCTCATGTAATTGTCCTTATTGGTTTTTTAGTCATACATTCACACACACACACACTTACACATACACACTTACATGGGTGTGTGTGAAATTTAAGGCTAAAAACCTCATGGAGGCACTACCCACATGGGTAGCATGAATTCAACCGCGCTAGATGTGAAAAAATTTCCTGGCTAACCAATTACTTGTTTGTCTTGACAATCTTATAGTCAGTAAAAGTATGTACTAGCGTGTGTTTTTATCCTTTAATAAGGATCACATAATATGAAGCTATAAACTTTATGGTCAACTTAACCTACCTAAGAGCATATTTAATGGTAGCATTTTGGTGAAGTTTGAAATTGTAAACCTACAGCTTTTCGATTAAAGTGTAACACAATTTTTCAACTAAAAAACATTTGTGAGTCCTTCATAAGTCTAAGCTCATAGCAGACGGGGTAGAGAGTAATCTAAAGCCCAGAGTAGGCTGGGTAGAGAGAGTCATTGCAGGTGCTAGAACATGTCCGCTCTGATACCATATTAGAAACAGGGGAAGATGGTGCGGTCCCACCAGGTAAGGCGCATCATAAGAGGGTGAGCCTAGGTGCACTTTAGTGAGATTCTATCCCAAAACTAATTAGTGATGGAAGGACTAGCCCACTAGACTTATAAACTATGAGAATGTATTCATTTAGATTTTTATTCATTTGGATTTTTAAGAGATTTTTTTTTTTTTTTTTAGATTTCAGATATCTTAAAACTTTGAAATTTTAGAGGAATATTGAAAATCTTAATCCTAAAGGTGGAATTGGATAAGAGATTTCATATACCGTATTTGTTTATAAATACCGGCAACTCTTAAAAACTCTAAGAAAATCTCAGTGTCAAAAAAGTTAAATACCTCATAATTTGTTAAGACTATTAAAATCTCAAATGAAAACTCAAGGATATTTAAAAGTCATCAAAAAATCTAAATTAAATACGAAATGATTTTTAGACCGTGATGGAGTACATATTATCTGGTCACTTTTAACTCGATGGTTTTTTTAACTAAAAAATATAACTCAAATTTAACTCAACCCTACACTTTTCAATATTGTCAATGTAATTAAATAACAATAATTAATTATCCTCGTACATCAAATCAACTTCAATTCACTCTTAATTTCACTTACATAGTTTTCACTATCTATCATTTTCAATCACCTTTCTCATATTTTTACATCATATCAACTTTAAGTCTTTAACCATTATATTTTAAATATAATTTTAATACGAAAGCAAAATCCCACCTCAATCATTTTTTTTTTTTTTCTAAATTAACTATAGTTATCAACAAATCCAATCAAAACAAAACTAACGTATATTCGATCACCTTATGTTAAAACAAACTTTAAGGGTGTGATTGAATATAAATCATTTACAAATTATTTCACATCTCAGATTTAACTCAAAGTAAAAGAAAATAACGAAAGTAAAAGCCCCCTCTTCAGATCGTCGCGGCCCTCCCTTCTATAGCTGATAAACTTTTGTTCCCTAGATCCAACAATGGCCGAGGTAGGAGACCTTTTTCCTGCCCCATCTGTTGCTTTACTGTGGGAGCGGCGCAGCGACGGTTTTCACCATGCCTCCTCCTCTCCAGTCAGTGACGAAGTCGTTGCTCTGTCGTTTCATCTCCAACCTCGGGTTGGTCGGATGAAGTCTTCTTGTCCTATTGTCCGTTGGCTTGTTTCTGGTAAGAGGATTCTGTTGGGACTTGCGTTGCCGGAGCGGTTGCCTCCAGGCTCGCGGTGTTGTGGCTCCTCCAATGGTTATGGCGGCGTCAACATTGACTATCCAGTGTTAATTTTCGAGAATGCTTATCCCCTACAACGTTGAAGAGCTTTGAAGCTCAGATCTAGTTCGAGATTGTCTTCTCGCCAAATCTATCTATGCAATTCGGGGTTTGGTCGCTGCTTTCGAATTTAGGTTTAGATTTGTAACTTCCTTGGGATTCAGTGTTGTGGGGTTGACTCCTAAGCTGGTTTGGGTAGATGTGTGTTTTGCCTTCTTGTGTTAGAGGAGGCTTTATTCTATGTGTGTATCAGGTGTGTGTCGTTTTAGTTTTTTTTTTTTTTTCGTTGTGTAAGTCCAACTGAGTTAGGCTTTTAGTATCCTTTATGGAGCTTTTGTTTTGCGGTATTTGTACCTCTTTGGCCGTCCATGTAATTTCAAGGGATTGGTCCAGACTTTGTTCGAACTCCAGTCGTGTCATTTGACACTTCAAGTGTACTTTTTTCGAGTTTTCAAGTTATTAATATAATCATCATTTGGAAAAAAAAGAAAACCTCGTTAGTACTGTCAATATAATTAGATATTACATTTTCAATCATCATTGAATAACACATCAATTTTAATTCACAATTCATGTACACATATAATTTTAACTATCTATTACTTTCTCCTACTTTTATATTAAATTGAGTTTAATTATCTCATTTTAAATATTATTTAATACAAATTCAAGAACTCTATTCAAATATAATCAAGTGATTTTTTTTTTTTTTTTTT